TGAAGCCCCATGAGAAGAATTATACTGTGCACGATTTGGAGTTGGCCGCGATTGTTCATGCTCTTAAGATCTGGAGGCATTATCTTTATGGGGTGTCCTGTGAGGTTTACACTGATCATCGCAGCTTGCAACATTTGTTCAAACAAAGGGATCTCAATTTGAGGCAGCGCAGATGGCTTGAGTTACTAAAGGATTATGACATCACCATGCTTTATCATCCAGGCAAGGCGAATATAGTCGTGGATACCTTGAGCAGAAAGGCAAAGAGTGTGGGTAGTTTGGCCTTCATTTCAGTAGAGGAGCGCCCATTAGACTTGTGAGGTTGGATATTTCAGAGCCCAGCCGAATTCTTGCCTGCGTCGTTGCTCAGCCCTCACTATCAGAACAGATCAAGGCTCGACAGTTTGATGATCTGCACTTATTGGTCCTTAGAGAGACGGTACTACAGGGTGGTGCCAAAGAGGTTACTATCAATGAGGATGGTGTTCTGCGACTCCAGGGTCGTCTATGTGTTCCTAATGTCGATGGCTTGAGGGAGAAGATTTTTGAGGAGGCACACAGTTCCCGATATTCCATTCACCCACGTGCTACAAAGATGTATTGCGACCTGAGGCAGCATTATTGATGGCGGAGGATGAAGAAAGACATAGTTGAGTATGTAGCTAGGTGCCTAAATTGCCAGCAGGTTAAGTATGAGCACCAGAGGCCAGGTGGCCTACTCCAGCAGATGACCATACCTGAGTGGAAGTGGGAGCGCATTACTATGGATTTCGTAGTTGGGTTGACGCGGACCTTGCGGAAGTTCGATGCAGTGTGGGTCATTGTTGATAGATTGACCAAGTTGGCACATTTCATTCCTGTGATGACTACATATACTTCAGAGAGAATGGCCCAGATTTATATCCAGGAGATAGTTCGCCTGCATGGTGTACCTGTTTCTATCATATCAGACAGAGGTCCTCAGTTTACTTCGCATTCTGGAGAGCAGTACAGAGTGAGTTGGGGACCCGTGTAGAGCTCAGCACCGCATTTCATCCAAAGACCGACGGGCAATCGGAGCGGACAGTTCAGATCTTGGAGGACATGCTCAGAGAATGAGTGATTGACTTTAGGGGACAATGGGATCGGATCTTGCCTTTGGACAAGTTTTCTTACAACAACAGTTAGCAGTCCAGCATCGAGATGGCTCCATTTGAGGCTTTATATGGTCGCGATGTTGTTCCCTTATCGGGTGGTTTGAGCCCGGCGAGGCTAAGTTATATGGTACGGATTTGGTGAAGGATGCCTTGGAAAAGGTAAAGTTAATTCAGGAACAACTTTGCACAGCACAGTCCAGACAGAAGAGTTACGCGGACCAAAAGGCGCGTGACTTATCATTTATGGTAGGCGAGAAAGTTCTCTTGAAAGTCTCGCCGATGAAGGGGGTCATGAGATTTGGGAAGAAGGGCAAGTTGAGCCCAAGGTTTATATGCCCATTTGAGGTGTTGATACGAGTTGGAGAGGTTGCTTATGAGCTTGCTTTTCCTCCCAGTCTATCGGGAGTTCATCCGGTCTTCCACGTATCTATGCTCCGGAGGTATCATGCCGACTTGTCACATGTGTTAGACTTCAGCACGATTCAGTTCGATGAGAGTCTGGGTTATGAAGAGGAACCAGTTGCCATTGTTGATAGGCAGGATTTCCAGTTGAGGTCCAAGAGGATTTTCGCGGTAAAGGTCCAGTGGAGGGGCCAACCAGTCGAGGAGGTGACCTGGGAGTCCGAGGAGGACATGCGGAGCAGATACCCGCACTTATTCAGCACTCTAGGTATGATTCTAGACCCGTTCGAGGATGAACGTTTGTTTAAGAGGTGAAGAATGTAATGACCCAACCGGTCATTTTACTTTTTAGAACCCCGTTCCCCTAAATAAGACTCCCCGTATATGCTTTTACTATTTTATGACTTACGGGGATGGTTAGTTCGAGATTTGGAAGGGTTAGGGTTGAAATCGGAATGCTTGGTTCCTTAAGTTGGCCTTAAAAGGCTAAGTTTAACTTCGCTCAACATTTTGAGTAAACGATCTCGGAATCGGGATTTGATGGTTCCAATAGGTTCGTACGGTAATTTTGGACTTGGGTATATGCTCGGTCCGGGTCGTGGATGACCCAGGAGCGTTTCGGCGCCTAATATTGAAAGTTGGTTCCTTGAAGGTTCTTGATGTTCTTTTAATTTGGTTTATAGTAGGTTTTGGTGATATCGAGGTCCGAATGGAATTCTGAGACTGGGATTAGTTCCGTAATGTCATTTAAGACTTGCACACAAAATTTGGCATCAATCCGAGTAGTGTAAGTACGTTTCGGCGCTTTGGGAGTAAATTGAAGAACTTAAAGTTCATATTTTTTTATCCAATTGGTTTGGGGAGTGATTCTTAGTTTTAATGTCGTTTGGGACGTTCTGAGGGTTTCAGCGGGTCCGTTTTATGATTTCAAATTTGTCGGTATGTTCGGGCGGGGCCTCGGGGGCCCCAGGTATCGATTGAACGAGGCCCGGACCAAGTTGAAACTTGGGAGCGACAACTGCAGTTCCCAGCTGCTAGTGTAATCGCACCTGCGCTTGGCCAGCCGCAGGTGCGAGCCAGGAGCTACAAAAGCAAGCAAGCCAAGGCTATCCAGGATCCGCAGGAGCGAGGAGTTTGGCGCACCTGCGAACGCGCAGGTGCAATGACTGTGACCGCAGAAGCGGCTGTGTCCGCAGGCGCGAAAGAGTCGGCCGCAGGAGCGATTGTGCAAGAGCGGTCCTGGCTCCACAGGTGCGATGGGCGAGTGGCCAGGCCGGTTTCGCAGAAGCGGACTTTTGACCGCAGAAGCGGTCCTGCAAAGCGGAAGCCCTTCCGCAGGTGCGGAAATCGCTGAAGGCAGAATCCTTCATTTAATGCGGAACTTAGTCATTTTGGCTCATTTATTCCATTGTTGGGCGATTCTTGGAGCTCTTAGAGAGGGAATTTTCATCTAATACCTTGAGGTAAGTAATTTCTACCAAATATAAGTTAAATACATAACTTATGGGTAGATTATAACATGTAAATTAGTGAAAATCATGGGTTTGGGGAAAAAACCTAGATTTTTGATAAAAATGAGATTTAATCATGAAATTCGTAATGGAATCTAGTAAAAATCATATATTTGAGTTCATGAGGTTATGGGTAACAACTTTCTTTGAAAATTTCCGGAATTCGGACACGTGGGCCTGGGGGTATATTTTAAGAATCTTACATTTAGGGTTGGGTAACCTCTTTAATAGTTGGAATACGAATTTTTGAGCATGTATTGATTAGTTTATATACTATTTGATTAGTTTTGGGTTGATTCGGCACCGAATTGAGGGTGTGAGCACATTCTTGGACCGGGAAGTAGGCCTTGAAACGAGGTAAGTCTCTTTTCTAACCTTGTAAGAGGAAATTAACCCCATAGGTGAACTTAATCATTATGTACTTATATTTGAGGAGGCTACGTACGTACGAAGTGACGAGAGTTAGTGCGTAGCTACTATTCATGTTTATGTCCGGGTAGATTTAGGCTTACACCATATTTTGCTAATACCGTTGCTTGTTTATGCTTACTAATTGTTTGGATTAAAGCAGAGGTTGAGGATTTCAATATTTTAAGGGTTCCTAGGTGAATTTCTTATATTTTGAAAAAAAAAAGAATTGAGAAATGTTATGATAACTTGATAAAATCTACATTCAACCGCTTCACAAGTATATTCCGCGAGCAGGGTAAATTTTTACTACTCTCATGGGAGCGGGCCGTTCGCCTCGACAAGTTAATTGATGTATCTATGGTTCGGGCCATTCGGCCCTCGGCAATGCACAGTATATTTATATGTATATATTTGGATCGGGCCGTACGTCCTCGGCATAATTCGTGCGTAAAGATATTGGAACCCCTTTATATTTAATATTGTTCCATGGACTTGAAAGGTGAAAGGATTAGACGAGAGAAATGACTTGGTTCTCACTTGAAATGAAAGGATTGTCTACTTATTTTCCTGCTCTGAGTTCTATTATCATTTTTTTATCATGTTTAATTAGAACTTCATACTATTATATTTTTGGCCCATAGTAGGAATCGAAGTCGACCCCTCGTCACTTCTTAGAGGTTAGGCTAGATACTTACTGGGTACATCTTGTTTATGTACTCACGCTACACTTCTGCACTTGATGTGCAGGATCTGAGGCAGGTACATCTGGTTATCCGTCCGGCGCGTACACTTGACTTCTGGTCCGAGACCACACGGTGAGTTGCCCTTCTGAGCCATTCAGCAGCAGCCGGAGTCTCTCTTTTGATTTATTTCCTGTCTATTCTTTTTCAGACAGTAGAGTAGAGATCTTTTATATATTCTACTAGTAGCTCACATACTTGTGACACCAGATCTTGGCACACACTAGTAGACTTGTGATTTTGGTTTTATTCCTATGGCCATAAATACATTCAGCTGCTTTCGTTTTATTAATTTAAATCTGTTTCTTACTAAACCCATTAAATTAAAGAAAGTTATTTACTTAGAAAAAACTTATTAAAATGGGAAGATCACTAGATTGTTCACTGTTGGCTTGCCTAGCAATGGCGCTGGGCGCCATCACGGTCAAAGATGGAATTGGATCGTGACAATTGCTTCCATCAAATTGGCATCTCCGGTCGGAATTTAATACTCTCTCTCTTTTAATTTATATGAACACATTTGACTGGTCACGAAATTTAAGAAAAGAGAGAAGACTTTTGAACTTATGGTATAAAATGAGGCACATATATTTTGTGTGGGTATAAATCATTGCATAAAAGTTAATTCTTTCTAAATAGAAAAATGTGTTATTCTTTTTGGCACGAACTAAAAAGGAAATAGATTCAATTAAATTAGAAAGGAGAGACTATACTTTTATTTTAAAAAAGGAGTTTGGGAGAAAAATAAGTGGCCGTAAGATGAATATCAACTACAGTTATGTCCCTAATTTTGACGGCTATCCTTATTTCTCTCTCTTCTTCTCAGACAACCTCGGAAGCCCCGACAGAGAGAGGGGAAGAAAGAATAAAGGAACTTCCTCTTCTGGCAAAAGGGTTCGTTTCTTTTTGATTGTTGATCCGAACCCTTTACCCTTGTGTTATTTTTCTCCATTTTCCTGTTCAGGATAAAGAAGAAACATAAGAAAGTTTGTGTCTTGATTGATTTTGTAAGTCATTTGGTGAAAAAGTTTGATGATTAAATGTAAGTGGGTGGTTCAGATTTGTAATGGAAGAAATGGAGATGGATAGCATTGAGTGTGTATCATCATCAATGGATGGCGTTGAAGATGAAGAGATCCGATCTTCTGTTTCATCTCATCAACAATATTCTTCAGCAAAACCTCATCATAATGTTATACCTTCCGGGATTGCCCCAACTAGTGTTCATGAATTGCTGGAATGCCCCGTTTGTACTAATTCTATGTACCCGCCTATTCATCAGGTTCATTCTCTTTATTTCTCTTCACCTTTTTTGATATTTACTATTTGGGTTAGATCGGACTGTTTTTGTTTTGTTTGATTGAAATTAAACAGACCCAAATGGATATAGACGATTTATATAGCCTATCTCAACTAGTTTGGAATTGAGACTAGTTGTTGTTAATTGAGGGGAAAACTGAAGTCTTTTGTGTAATTTGATTGTGTTGAGTGCTAACAAAATTCTAAAAGACTAGTATATTTAGAGATGACAAGGAATATAGATATTGAATTCTAGATTTCTTTTTTATAGGCCTTTCCATTTTGGTTAGGGAATATGTGTGTTTTCTAGACCATTGGGGAATTGGATGCCACTGGTAGAGTATGCGAAGAGTTTGTCTCTTGCTGTTAGAGAAGGTTGATATTGCGCTCTTATGGCCCTTAATCATCTTAAAGCTGGGTTCTTTGGAACTTTCATGGCCATTTTTTAGGATCTCTTGAGGAATACTTGTAAAACTTTAAGATACGGATTGAACCATGATAATATGATTATGGTGTAGCAAGGTTAACAGGACAGTGTACTTCATTAGATTGAGTTTTATCAATTTTGAAGAGGTGAAGAGTTGTTGAAGATGACTGCAGATAGTGTTGTGCTTTTCTTATTGTATTCACTGTATACTATTGGCTGTTTTGGTGAATAACTGCAGCTGATTGCGGATGTTTTCTGCTTTAACTTTGACGAATAGAAGAAGGGAGGATTTTCTGCTTGTGGAATCTACAGCCCGTGCTATGTTCACCTGTGGTTTAAATCTTTATGAGGAGATGAATTTAGTAAATCAGAAAGACAATGTTGGCTCTAGATAATGAGACTTAATGGAGCTGCAGTATGGGAGTGGTGCACTTAACATTCAATAAGCTTTCTTACTTTAGGTCATGGAAGGATATTTGTAGAGCGATTGATTGGATTAAACTAGTTCATTCTGCAGTGTCTTGAATGATCCTTCCTAGGTCCTCCATTTGGCATCTGATAATATGATACAAACATAGATACATTGATGTATATCGAGGGAGAACGTAAGATTAAGTTGAAAAGACTTTTGTGTGGAGGTATATTGAACAAGTTGAGCTTAGTAAGAAAACGTATCACCAGTTGGTAAAAACTACTTAAAGAGTCCCATTCTTGTAACTTGTCGTATTTGGAGTTCGTTTTTCTGTTGATTGAGACTTGGGCGGCACCAATCTCCCCCGACAAAGATCTATCTGCGCCTGTGATTTTTGGAGTAGATTAATTTCGTTTAGCCGAANCAAGTGGGGTTTGGGGAGGGTAGTGTGTACGCAGACCTTACCCCTACCTGGAGAGGTAGAGAGGCCGTTTCCGATAAACCCTCGGCTCAAGATAAGGTGGAAAGGAAGAAAGGGGAAAAAAAAAGAAGAAAGAGGGGGGAGAAAGAAAGACGAGGGAGACAAAAGACAATAAGGAAAGAGAGGAGAAAAAGTAGCATCAGATGGTAACAATCAAGGAGCAACAATTTCTAGTAAAAGGGAGAAAGAGTAGCATCAAATAGTAACAATCAGGGAGCAACAATTTCCAATAGCAATTTTCAAAAACAATGGACGTGGTTGCTAAGTACCAGATATAATAACAAACTAAAAGGAAGTAACTTTCAACCAACAACAAGAATATTACTAGTACTACTAGTAAACCTAGGAGAAACTCACAACTACCTGTCAACCCACCACCTTGATCCTCGACCTCCACACCTTCTTATCGCTAGTCATGTCCTCGGTTAGGTGAAGCACCGACATGTCCTGCCTAATCACCATTCCCCAATACTTCTTTGGCCTACCCCTGCCCTTCCTCAAGCCCGTCATGGTCAACCTCTCACACCTCCTGACCGGGGCATCTATGTCTCTCCTTCTCACATGCCCAAACCATCGCAGCCTCGATTCCCGTAACTTGGCTTCCACGGATGCCACTCTCACCTTGTCCCTAATAACTTCATTCCTGATCTTGTCTTTCCTGGTATGTCCACACATCCATCTCAACATACTCATTTCAGCTACGCTCATCTTCTGGACATAGGACTTCTTGATGGGCCAGCACCCAATTGATGGAAGGACGATGATGCAAAAGCATATTAGGATTTTGGGAGTAGGGAAGGAATGTGCCGAACCTTTTGCTCTTTTCCTTTTATATTTTAGAGTAAAAATGTTATTTAGGACATATTTTGTTAGGATATTATCCTGACATAATAATTCTACATTGGAGGATACAAAAGACGGGCTAAATTTTATACCGCTTTACCCCAGCCCTTTGAAAGGCGACAAAACGGTTTCTAAAGCTGAAAGCATAGAAAGGAGTAAGAGAAAAACATTTCTGATAATCCTTGATGCATATGTAATGATTGAAATCTTGTGAATAATTGAGGTTCTTTACTCAGTGGTTATACATTGCTGGACAATGTGTAGGGGTTGTACCTGAGTGAGCGTTAACAATCCAATGTGGCCTTTCAATAAATGGTCAATGCCACCAGGGATTATTTGATTAGAAAGTAGACATTTTCCTTTTCGGGTAACCCAATATGGCTTTTTCAGAAAATTGTTACTGCCTCTAGGAATTCTTTTACAAAAAATGGACATTTCCTTTTTCTTTTCATTATAGTTGTAGCAGGCAAGTTTTGGGTACATTCTTCGGGATTCAAGTGACTCCTTGACTACACTATTTTTCACCGAACAATACAATCAAATGGATGAGCAGAATTTCACGTGATCAGTTTTGAATGCAATACTTTATATGTATGCTTCTTTCAGTGATAGTTTTGGAACATGGCATGTTACATAATACTGGGACTAAATTTATTGTTCTGTAAAAGACAAGATGTTTGGCCTTCCAAAGAAAAGAGAAAAGCAAAATGATAATAATGGATCTTCTCATCCGCAAAATATTCTCTATGGCTAAATCAGGTAGAATTCTGTTCTCTTATCCTTAATCCTATCTTTTCTCCTTGATATTTAGGTCTGGTTGTCATGTGAACGCTTTAGGGCTGGATCAACTGAAAAACTTTAATGCATATCAAGATTCATATTACTCATTTAGTCTTTTTGAATTTTAACTCCTTCTGAATGGACTTAAGGTAATCATTTTAAACTTTGTTTTGTTTTGTAGTGTCACAATGGACACACGCTTTGTTCAACTTGCAAAACAAGGGTGCACAATCGATGTCCCACATGCAGACAAGAGCTTGGTGATATAAGGTGTTTAGCGCTAGAGAAGGTAGCAGAGTCGCTTGAACTGCCTTGCAAATATTATTCTTTGGGCTGCCCAGAAATATTCCCATATTACAGCAAACTTAAACATGAGACATTGTGCAATTTTAGACCATACAATTGCCCATATGCTGGGTCAGAGTGCTCAGTGACCGGAGACATCCCTTATTTGGTTACGCATTTAAGAGATGACCACAAAGTGGATATGCACACAGGATGCACGTTCAACCATCGTTATGTAAAGTCTAATCCTCGTGAAGTGGAAAATGCCACATGGATGCTGACGGTAACTCCAGCATCTTTTAAGCATCAAATGATTTCTTCTTATTGCTATGCCTAATATTTAATGTGTTTAGTGGGGTTGCTGAGCAAGTATTATGTAGCAAAATATTTAGCTCACCTATTTATCCTAACCACCCAAATGCTGAAAAATGAACTTGCAACTGTTCTGCGAATGAATTTTTTAAAAGAGAACTTGGATGCCAAATTATCATGTGTCACATCTTTTCTTTTTCGGAATACCTGCTTTACATTTTCATAGTCCAAATGTTCTTTTTTTGTGCTTTTCCACTAGACTATATTAGAGAACTCCTAATGTTGGATAATCCTTATGTACAGAGTATTGAGATATTATGGATCCAAACAGAGCATTTATAATATTTTGGATTCATACAGCTGACATCAACTAGCCTGGGATTGAGGCATTGTAGTAGTTGTTGTTTTTGTTTCTTTTGCCATAACATATTTCCTGGCTTCCTATCTCTTTTTTTTGTAGGTCAATCTTGTTTTTTTGTCCCTTTTCCAATCAATCTATATTTTTGATGGCATCTATTTGAAAAGGCTGAATACATAGGCAACCCCTTAAACTTGTCCAAAAAATTCATTTACACACCTCAACTAAGGATGTGACCTACTGAACACTTGATGTCTATAGAAAATGTGCCTATTAGACACAAAGTGGTGACATGGCACAGTGCGTGATGTGCACTTCTTCGGGCAGCATGAAATAACTTAAAACGGTGCTAACATTTTCCAATGACATGTTTCCATACAAAAAAAGGTACAGTAATTAGTTTACTTTTTGTTTTCTTTTTCTCCTTTATCTTCTCTATCCCCGTGCGACCTCCATCGCCGAAAAAACACTCAATTCTCACGCCCTCATCTTCCTCTCCTCTCAGAAAACCCATGAGGCCCCTTGTTCCAATCTCCCGCTTCCACCACTCCAGCACCGTGATCTCACCCAAACTCACACACTCCCACCATGACAACTACACTACACTTAAACTCATCAAACCATCACGCCGGAGAACAGCCTTCAGGTTACCTATCATCACCTGAGACGTTAAGAGAATAACAAACAAAAACTGATAAGTAGACTATTTGGTGTTGAGAGATTTCTTGGCTTTCGGAACATTGCTTTTGCAGCCTCAAACTCTCTGTTTTGCATAAAATCATAATCAATGAGTAAAAAACAATATTCGGATCTAGAAGGTTGAAAAAAAAAAAAAAAAA